CTCTTATAAAAATAAATAATAATCAAGAATTCGAGGTGGAAGAAGTCTTAGATTCAAAACAATGCCAAAATAGATTAAAATATATTATTTATTGATATGGATATACTATTAAAAAAATACACATGGAAGCCAATAAAAAATCTTATAATTACAATAAAGAAAGTTGAAACTTTTCATTGACAACATCCATCAAAATTAAGATAAAGAATAATAAATCTTTGCTATAAAAGAAACAAGCTCTAAAGAATATAGCATTCTACCTTTTACTCTTGTTTGTAACTTTTGTGTATTTGTGATATTTAAAAAATAGAAAACCAACAACTAAAAAATTCAACTGAAGAACTATCACTTACTTTCTTATCACACAAGATATTGTAATTTTTATAATCTTTAAGATGATGTATTCAAGATGAAGATCTTTAAGAATAGCATATCTTTTTTCAAATAGATGGCAAAATATAACGTGTTTGGTATCATGATATTAAAAGAAATTCCTAATATTTGGTGATTTTATTAGAGGTAAGAATGACTCTTAATAATGTTCCAAATGTTTTATTTGAAGGGAGTTATAAAGGACTCAATAGCAATCAAATTAGAGAATGGTCTTTCTGCCCTGATATAAGATACTATTGATGGCTGAAAAGACCTATCAACCATCTTCAAAGACAACAAAGATCAAAGTATGTGGCAAATATAATTTTCTACATCTTGGATTTTTTCAACATATAATGACCGCTCCTTGTAGAATTTGTACCTAAAAAGAAAGGTAATGACACAAAAATACATATTTATTTTAATATTTATCTATATGATTAAATAGAAGTAAGTAAAAATTAATTTGTTTCATAATATTTTCTAGAGAAGCTTCTTAGAAGTTTCATAGATGTTGCTTAGACTTTATATGTTTTTGTAGTTGATTGATAGGTTAGAAACTTAATCAACAAGTTAACCACATATTAGTAGCTTGCAGAATAAGTTAACTATGTAGCACACATATAGAAACCTTGCCTTGCAAGTTAAGATAGATGTCTTGTAAAGTCAATACATTTTGGAAACCTAGTTCTATAGAATATCGTCACATAGCTCCTAATTAAGAATATATATGGAGGCAAGAGTAAAGTCTTTTTTACTATTGTCAATGCCTTTCTAGTCCTTAGTCTCATTTCAAGACTTTCTAGTCTTTTTATCTTTAGCAATTACTGTTTTAGTTTAATACTTTATCATCTTTGAGTAATTTTACTATCTTTTTGAGTGACACAAGAGTGTATTAACATTTTAATTTTTTGAGGTTCATGGCTTTGACAAGTTTTGGTTGATATGTGAAACATATTTAAAAAATAATTTTAGCTCATATAAAAATTTAGGTAAGAATTGGTGTCTTTTAATTAGATTCTATTGTATATTAAATAATTGGTTATAAGTTTTTTTATATATATAAATTAAATTTTATTTATTTTTAAAATAAAAAATAATATCTCTTTTTTATTTTTAATCCAAACTGCTTTTAATCTAAAGGACAAGATTGTTGGTTTTTAGACTTTTTTATATTTTAAAATTTATTATTTTTTACTAAAATATCTTATTTCTAAATATTATTTATGATTTATATAAAAAATTATATTCGGTGTTAGAATTTATAATTTAAAAGCAAATTCATTATCTTTTTTAAATTTATAAAAATTAAATAAGTTAATAAAATAAAAATTAAGATAAAATATTATTAAATATATCTTTATAAAAAATAAATTCCTATTATTTTTATAGTCTTCCAATTGTATTAGAAATATTTAATAAATTTATAAGTATCATTAGAATAAAAATTATTCCTTACGTATACAATGATCTTAAATTCTATGAATCAAAATCCAATATCTATTACTAAATATCATATGTAAGAACAAAGGTTTTATAAAAATTTAATTGTTGTATTTTTAATTTTTAATTTGAAAACAACATTGTTGCCAAGAAATGATTTTGTTTTGTTTTTTTTTTTTATTTTTTGTTTTTTGTTTTTATTTTTTGCTTTTATAGAAACTATTGTTTTAAAACTATATCAAGGTTTTTGTTTTTTTTTTTTCTATAATATTTATTAAAATTAATGATTTATTTAAAAATATCATCTTTTGCTTGATAAATTTTATATTAGCTTAAGAAATAAAATTACAATAGAAAAATAATGAAGCTTTGAAATATCTTCAAAAACTAATTTCAAAATCCTTACATAAAATTCTTTTCAAGAATTTAGGTACTTTGCAATCTCTTTAACTACTTAATCTACAATAAGATTTTATGTCAATTTTCTATTTAAATAATTATGTTATTTCATTGATCCAAAATGAATGTAATATGCATCATATGTGTATTGACATGATGATTTTAGTACCTCTTGTATGCATATGAAGCTATCTTGTACAAAAAACATACTCATACAAGAATTTATGTTAGCCAATAAGTTTTTCCATTTTTCTATTCTCTTAATAAATTATCAAGTACAATCTAAAACTTCTAACAAAATTCTATTTAATTGCTCAAATCAAACCCTTCATCTATAATCTAATTGACATAACAAATCTAATTGAAAGTTGTTATAAAGCACTAACAACCAATATAGACTAGTTGTGAAGGACTATATAATGATAAGTATGTTTAAAGGAACTATTTTCACATCAAACATGAAATTCCAACTAACAAAATCTTTACAATTGAAAACAAATTGTTAAACTATTAAATCTTTTCATTTCATTAGCTGAAACTAAAAAAAGCCTGTAGATTTTGCCTTCATAGTTGTTCCAATCAACTCGAATTACCGATATATTTTTTGTTTTTCAACTCAAATCTAACGTCTATTGTGTGCAGGTGGGCAGATCATTGCCATGCATCCTTCGAAGGAAATTTCAGAGCCGCTATTTATGATGTGCCAACTTGGACTCCAGGCTCACAAAGTTAAGAATGGTGAGCGAATCGGATAAATGCTTTTTTAAAGTGCATTTCGTCGGAACAGCTGTTCACGACATAATGCTCCGATGGGCTACACTTTCGTGACTCAACCTGACGAGGCACTTCAAAACTGTCGGTTGCGGTAAAGAAATGCTCGATGAGAATTTCTAATCTTGTATTCCAAGTTCCAAAAAATGCCATCAGAAAACGGTGAAGTGGTGTGGTAAATTGGACTATGCGTTGATCGCATTTTGTTTTGCCAATGTTCAGTTCCAGCGACTTCAGGACCATTATCTGGACTAGTTCATCGGGATCAAGCATTTCTTACTTGAATTCAATATAATGTGGAAGATGAAGACTAGCATATCAATCCGTTCGCTCATTTCCATGGAGCACGTGCATTCCCTCGCCGAACGGAATGGAAGAGGTCGAAACCAGACGCAGTGGTTCGAAGGATTGAATACAAAAAGCGAACTGCCTAGATTCTCCAACCTAGTTTACTCATCCCGCCCGAAGCTAGATATAGGTTTCGACATGTAAACCCACACCAGTAAATGCAGTCTGATAGTTATCGCATGTTTCACCATGTATCTTCAGCGTAACCACTGGACACGAACTTATTTTCAAATTGTTTCCAACCTTTTTAGAATGATAGTAATCTTTGTGTAATGTCAAGCACACTTGCTCTTTTCATCAGCCATGGTTGTGATCCATGTGTTGCGTCAATACACCGCACCACTCCCCCAGTCTCCGCCAGATGCCTCCCTTGGATCGTCCCTGCACGAGGCGACTTTCAATCCCAACTTAGTCTACGCAGCAACTAGAGACAGAATCGACTGACAATTAAAAATATAATTGGTGCGAGTATTCCGAATCTCTGACCAATCGCGTTCAAGCCATGATTACTGCGATATTAAACTATTGTCAACCCAATTAAAGGACCACCATATGTCGAGGTGGTAACAGATGTGTGAGGGTGGCTTCGAAACTTGCCTTCAGTAAGCCAGGCATGAATTCTGGGAAGATCAGGTGTACCGACAGAGTAAATGGAATGGAAATGCTGTCGTCAGATGTGGCCTCACGCCCAGTATAGACCTCCAGAGCGACAGCCAGCACACTCCTCTTGGAATCAATTTCTAATCTGTGATTAATCCTTTATTCGGCACGAGTTCCACCCAGGTTTCATGTTTTGCGGTTTGTGTTTATTTTGGGAGTTTATCCTCTTTTAGAATTGATTAGCATCATGAATAGAATCCAAAAATTGATAGTTATACCATATACATGTAAAAATAGAATCATTTTTGGAACGGAGAGGATTCACAGAAAGAGAATTGAAAACCCATAAATGAAAAGGACAGTAATAATGGTAAGTGCGGACGCAACCCGAAATATCTCCCGCTCATTGTTGGGTATGGATCACATGGTGAGATCCATAAGTTGTTTACTAGTATTGTCTATCATATCAAAGAGTTCCACCGTGTTTCCTTAACAGAAATCGGAATGGGCACCACCATTGACGTTGCCGAACCAACATTGAAATCCGGCGAATATTTGACGAAATAGATGGAAGTTGTTGTAGTTCCTAGTGCATGCTGCTGCTCAACACGTGATTAGATTATATATTTTCTGTTTGAATCTTTAACTAAATTATAAAAAGATAATATATTTTTTTATTATGTTAACGTCATTTAATAGATTTTTTGCTTATTCGCATCCACAAATAGGAGATGATACTGCCAACTCACAATCAGTATTACGTAAGAAGCTTGGAAAGTCCTTGTAGAAACGAGTTGAAAACACCGTCGGTTTGCTATATTGTTTTTTTAGTATACTCTTCAGGGAAGCACAAAATAATATAAAAACAAAAGATGCTCCTTGATTATACACAAATAAACAGTTAATCACATGAAATGAGAGCTCAAATCCAACAGCTGTTACGGGTCTGTGACTATCTAAAGTTGACAATGCGGCATGGGAAGCTTTATATTAAGCTTAAATTCAAAATTTCATATTTTTCACCCTGCACATTGGGGATTTCGTTTTGGACTGCGTCATCGTTAAGAGGGGCTGGGCGGCGGTAAGGGCGGCGGTAAGGGCAGTCCCAGTCGGAAAATTGAGATGCTTCGGGGTAAAGTAGATTTTGAGATCACATCAATCAGTCTTCCGAGCGCGACTGAACTTGGAGCTTTATTGTCCAACTCCAAGTCTCGAAAGCATCTCGTTTGCATACGCATGGTTGATACAAGGCAAAGCAGGATAATTAGTCACTCCAGGGTTTCGTGGAGATCCCTGCGCCGCACATGTGAGAGAGGTAGGAGTGTGACACATCTAGTTTGACTGTTGTAAGCAAGAGCGGAAGGATTTCGGAATTTCAACGTGGTGAGGCAAGGCCCGAGATCTGTTGGGTCGCTTGACGGACTTCACGGAGCTACAAACGCGTTTGAAGAAATCACAGCGCGATATAGCGTGGTGCCGCGCTTTGCAACCTGGATGGACTTGGACGAATTCGCAAGTGATACTGGTTCGCAAATCTGGTACTTGGCTGGTGTCTTTATAGTTATGCAACGGAGACAACCACTGGCATTACTAGCTCTATAGTTTAGGTGTGATATGCATTCGCTGTTTGCTGCTGTACCTTGTCTGTCTCGAAAAAATCGCACATCCACGACAACCCTTATTAATTATTCGATTTTCTAATAGAAACAGCAGTGAGAAACCTCTGCTCTAACTTCTCTTCAATCCTTTGTGTAAAAGGGTTCCAACGTTGAGCACTGAATCGGGAACCAAAACCTTAAGTTTCCTTTCTAGCGTACTCAAGCCACCATTCATAACCCCTGGGGCTATCTCTTCTTAAATCCGGGTGGTCTAATCTCGATTGCCGGGAGTACGCGCATGATATCCTATTTCCGCATCGCCGTGGTTGCTGGTACGGTGGGAGAATTCTCGACGTTCTCAGGCCAGCTGCATAAGCAAGAGCAAAAATGAGGAGATGAGCAGTTTGAGTCTGAGGAAAGGTTCCGCCTTGTGGCAACCCTAGACGTAGAGACACCCAGCAGGAAATTCAGAGGATGACTGCGGGGGAATGCATGTAATTATGGCGAACTCGAAATTTAGAACTCTACATCGGAGTTTGATGTTGCAGACCACCATCACCATCATTGCTCTATCATTCTGCGTTTTTTCCGTCTTCCAGCGAAACGTCCAGCAGAAGGTCCAGCCCGGGTATGTCATCAAGCCACAGCCGCTCATCAACGACGTCCCTCGCAACTCTGATGAACTCATCGCGAAACTAGCCGACGTCACCAGAAAGGCTGAGAATGGAATGAACAAGACCGAGATTTTCTCTTCCAAAAAACGACTTTTGTGGAACAAGGAGCATTCTTGCAACAGCCGACACGAAATATACGCTCTCTACTCAACGAGGAAGAGCACGCACGACATCAAAACCAATCCGAAATGGAACTCTGTTCTGAAAGAGTATTCGAAGCTTCACAGGACGTGCGTCCAGCGAATGGGCAACGTGACCGACTTTTTCCTCAAGAGGAAGCACATTGACGGGTGTAAATTTGTGGTGGCCGGTGTGTCAATGGGCAGCGGCCTCGGCAACAAGGTGCTGACAATCGTATCGGCGCTCGTATACGCCGTCCTGACCCAAAGAGTTCTACTCGTCCCGCTAACCACTACTGCACCGGGAGTGTTTTGCGAGCCATTTGAGGGTTCCTCTTGGATGGTGGATCCCGAGAACAACTGGACGGATTGTGTGAGGAGACGGGATCTGTGGGATCCCTTGGCAACTTTCTATGACAAGGTGGATACTAGAGATTCGAGCGAAGCCTTGATAAAACCCACCTACGCCGTCTCCACGGTTCATACTTTGGACCCGCAACCGGAGTCACGATTTTTCTGCGACACCGAACAAGCGCAGTACACCCAAGTCGACTGGATCCATTTTCGAAACAACTTCTACTTCGTACCGAAGATTTTCGCAGTCCCGAGCTTCCGCCCTCTCCTCGAGGATATCTTCCCCAACAGGAAGATATTAACTCACTTGTTGCGGACGGTGATGCTACCGAGTGATGCTGTGTGGGGGCGCGTCAAGCAAGTGCACGACGCACACTTCCGTCATTCGAATCTCCTAGTCGGCATACAAGAACGATACTTCATGGGGAAATCAGGATTCGATCAACTCCACACGACCATGGAGGAGAACGTCGTGGAATGTCTAAAATCCGAGGGCCTCCTTCCAACCACTAACCCTAAACTTCAATCCCAAGTGTTTTCATCTCCACGGGATTTTGACAAACCTTCTGTGTCGGCTCTGAAACCCCTCAATGTCACTACCATCTTCATTACTTCCCTTTACCAAAGTTTGTTCGAGAGATTATCGCAAGACTACGTTCGAACTGCACTTAACTCTGGCGATGCCGTGGGGTTGGTCCAGCTGACCCACGCAGGCACGCAGAACTTTGGGGACGAGGTCGACAGGCAAGCCTTGACGGAGATCTTCTGTCTGAGCCTCACAGACCACTTGGTTCTGACTCCACTGTCGACGTTCGGCAACGTCGCGCAAGGATACGGGGGCCTGGTGCCGTGGTTCATCGACCTGCGACCCGAGACGCCAACGCCGTGCCTGCTGGCGGAATCTGCCGAAGTTTGTTACCAGCTTCCGAGCACAAGGTTGTTCACCTGCCCACATGATGCGGATGTCAATGAGCGGTTCATGACGGACGTGGTGCCACACCTGATGGATTGCAACGAGGCGGAGAAGCCGTTTCAGCGCGAGACCAAATCCAATATTGGAATACAGCTCGCAACAGATTGAGAGAGAGCATACCCATGTAAGCTGCAGGCATGATTTCCCGTGTTGTACTACACACTCTTTGTACATTGAATTGACACGGATTCGCAGTTCATTCAACGCCTACTTATTCTTAAGACCATCACGACACAATGAAGCGAGGTCTGAAGCTCAAAGGGACGGTTCTCAAGCTCTCCGAGGTGATAGACCAGGTCTGGCATCTTTACTGCAGCAGCTAGGCATGAGTGATGGATGGGAACACACACCGCAAACCAAGTCAAACAGTGCAAAAGCTCCAATAACAACGACAAAGCCTTTTAAACAACGACAGGAAACAAGTTGGGTCATAATCGTTGCGACTTTGCAAGGGCAACAAACATAGCAACAATTTGCTCTGGGTTTCATTCATTTTGCGCAACTCTAATCTAGCAGCTCGGCCTTTTTGTGACGATGAGCCACCATACCCACACTTGCTTTTGCAAGAGCAGCTTGCATATGGTGCAAAATACACCAATGAGTCATAGTGTGTGCAACGATATTTTTTCAAATAACAGAAAAATGTTTGGTCATTCTTGTTAGTGTTCCCACCAAATCATAGTTGTGTGTCATCGTCTTTACATAGACTACGCAATGCATAAAATGATCACTAGTTGTACCAATCTTCATTCATTGAGAAGTACGACTTTTATTTTTAAGTAAAAAGTTTGTTAGATTGTTCAAGTTGAGGTGTGGAATTTCATTCATGTCCAGGGTTTATCTTATAATTTGGTTGTATTAATTTGGTTGTATTGGGTAATTATACAGCCTTACAAATCATCATCTATAATGGTTTGATGATGTTTTTTAAAGATAATAACGGAATTGACATCAACTTGCTATTCATCAATTTTGCTAATTATAATTTAGATTTCATAGAAACCACATATAAGTTTGTAAATAAGACCACTTTTTTTAAAATTTTAAAGTATAATAAAATATATGACAATAAAGTTTCTATGTTAATTACATATCTATATACAATAATTTTTCTTCTAATGAAATTTTAAAGATTTTAAATTGAATGCATGAGTAAAAAGTTATGTACTATCCAAAGATGGTAGCAACTTAAGGCAATAGTCTCTATTAAAATATCAAATATTTGTAGGATATTTTCTTTTGTAAAGACTTGGAATCAACTCAATAGGTAGTCTTGTAATATTTATTAGACAAATAGATGATAAAAAAGAGTTTATCTATGATTTTTTAATAATATAAAGAAATCATTAAAATATATAAATAATAGAAGTAGATAGATTGAAATTTCATTATGTAAGATTGCAATAATAAGAAATACATTCTTTCTCTATGTTACTTATATATCTAATATATAAACTACAAAATTGATGCCTTGGCCAATTAATTGATCCAATCTAACATAATTGTTTTAGAAACTAATTACCACTTCTTGTTGACATAAACAATAACTTCCATTACCATATCTAATTATTATCATTTAATAATCCAACTTTTAAAATAGTTTATATGACTCAATTCCATCATGTATTATAAATTTAAATGTCTCACTCTTACTAATGTATTTATAAGCACATCTACAACTATTCAATTTGTATCATAATAGTCCAACACAATTTTTCTTCTTCTTCTTATACACAAAGTTATATTGTATGTTAATGTAGTTGGTTTTGGCATAATACACTAGGTTCTTGGCAAAAGCAACTGCACCTTAATTATTACATATAATCTTTTGGTACCGTTGTCGTGTTGTAACATGACTATATGGTGAAAATATAAATGAAAAAGATTTATTAATATTTAGTCATCTTGGATGTTAGAAACAGTAGCCAATTCTAGTGCCAATATTCAGAGGCCAGTTAATGCCACCCCGTTGCAAGTTGTACCACTGAACGTGACAACATCATATGCTCCATCGACATCATCGAACCAAGTACCCTCCATACCAACGGGATGACCAAGATCATTTTCTAACCCTACATGGAACAAGCCTAGTAGGTATATACCGATGGAGACACCCAATATGCCTGATGGGAGTACAAGAAGACCACTTCGTTGTTTTCGTTGCAGACAGATTGGTCATTATGCTAGTGAATGTCCCAATCCCAGAGCTAATGATGATTAGTGTGCTAGTCTGTGGGAGTAGCAAGCAGTCGGAGCATACTTATCAGCAATGTAATGCTCCGTTCAATTTCAATAATCGGGATCAACAGATCCAAAGCTAAGGAAAAATTGAGGGGATAAATCGAGGTCCTCAAGATACTTCGATAAATCGGGTAGAATGTATCCAAGCCGTTCTTACCAGGAGTCAGCAAAAGGAAAAAGGACCGATTCAACAATTGGATGAGTCTAATGCGAAGGGCCAATTTGACCCAATTATGGAGACATCCAATCCAGATCTTGTTATGGGCCTCTTACCCAGTATGAGACCTGACTCAGTTAGGCAGCCCAATGAGGTTCCGATTACGGAGGCTTTTGTTCCATTCAAGTTGTTCCGTTCACTATGTCGTTTCGAGGAAACGTCCTTTTCGTAGAAAGATCCTTTTAGAGTTGGGAATTTTATGGAAGCGTAGTCTACTGTTCCAATTCGAAGTCTAGGGCGGAAGAATAGGGGGCCTCACGGAGTTAAAGGAAGAGAGAGGAAAAGGAAGGGGCATTCGGAAGATCGGGTTTTTGAAGTAGGAGAGCTAGCTTCAAGCTCCTTCGAAAGGTGTAGAATTGGATTTCATAGGATTTGGGAGGATTTGGCAGTCATTGCTCAAAGTCGATGTTTGTATTGGTGAATTGGGTTCATAGGGTTTGGGAGGACTTGTAGTCGTTGCTGAAAGTCAATGTTTGTATTGATGAATTGGATTTTTGTAATAAAGTAATGGCTAGTACTTTTGACTGTTTTGTGAAATTAAAGAGACATCTATGGTTGAAATTTTAGAAGTGTCTAGATGGTTGAGTATGCCAAGTACATGCAAAAATTTGTATTAGTCTAACGGTACTGATAGAAGATATTTGATCGTTAGTGTAAAGAGGTATCAGAAGTTGGCATATTGGGGTTGTTTAGGGTTTTTGTAATATCTGGAGATCTACCAAATGGAATTAGGTGAATTTTGATGCGGTAAGTCGAGAACTTAAAGGCGGAGCTGCATACAAAGTTTGAATGAGAATTAATGATTAAAGAAGGAAAAATTGCAAGTTAGAGTTCATCATCAACTTCTAGGTGGTGGTCAAAGGACATCAGTGTGGATTTACGGCGTTTTTTTTACAATCTGTAAGTTGGATTGGATTGAATTTTTTGAGCATTTAGAAGACTTATAAAGACACTAGTGGTAGAAGTTTCACAATAATCAGACGGTCAGATTGAGAATTACAACTTGCCGAAGCTTGATGTCTAGGGTTAGGGTTTAAAAAATAATAATAATAATAATAATAATAATAAATAAAATAAATAAAATAAAAATAAAACTAACAAATAACAGAAAAAATTGTACTTATAATATCTCGAAGTTATTAAAAATAGTGTTTCTAAGCACTTTGTATTGGGATTAAGCCTTTACATTGAAATCCAAAATAGTTTATATTTAGATGGTTGAAATCCACTAGACTACTTGGATACTTGCAAAATCTTGTTTTATCTTCCACAGCCAGACGCCCAGTGCGTTCTCAAGCTAGATAGTACATAATACGACACCGTGCCCTTAATATCTTTATTAACCCATACAATGACTTTTTGAGTTTGCAAAAAAGATCTTTGTCCCACAAATTTCTTAGACTACTTCATGTGAATAATATCATCTATGTTTTTACTAAAAAATGATGTATACATATTGTAGATTTCTTTATCTAATATTGTCTCAATGAATAGAATGCAACCAATATTGGTAAACTTGACCATTTGTACAAACCTCTTATTAAAAGCCACTCCCAGTACTTGCCAAAATCATCTTGCCACCAATCTTGCCTTATAATACAAACGGTTTGTTCCCCTTGGTTTTAAGTACACACTTGCAATTTATGTCTATGAGACTATTTAAAGTAAAACTTAATTCTAACATTCTATTTTCTAAGAAGTAAATTTACTTGTCATTCACAAAAATTTCTTAGTTTTTTAAATTATTAGAGCCTAATACTTCTTTAGTAGTGGTAGGATCTTAAGTGAAATTTATATTTGCGCAATTTAAATATCAATCATATAGAAAGAAGAAAAGAAAAGAAAAGAAAAAATGATTTATATACTTCTTTCGAATTGGTTTTATTAACCTTCTACCTTCTATGACCTATTTTGAAGACCACATTCCAAATTGTTAATAATAATTTTAAATATAGAGTTACACCTAAGAAACTTATGAAGGCTCTAGCTATTTTTTAGTGTTTAATAAATGTTATGTTTTTTAGTATTAAGATGGTTTATTTATTTATTTATTTTGGTTAAAAATACTTATTTATTCAATAAACAATAAAGCATATATTTGTTTCTTCTGTTACAAAAACTTTGAATTGTATGCAAAGATGTATGCAAAGATGGAAAAATTGTTAATCTTATATAATTCAACTCAAATTTTTAGAATATACTTTGTTATATGATGGTCTTCATATGGATCGAAAAAAATAAAAATTATTATAGATTGGACAATTTTTAGCACTACAGACATTATTCTAAGGCTTTGTAGAATTTTCTAAATATTATCAAGTTTACATATTTTTCTTGAAGTCAAAATATAGTAAACTATGTGTTTGTTTTAGTATAATTGAACTTCAAAAATTCATACTATGCCAATTAACTAAAATAAATAAATAAATAAATGTCTCATATTTTATAAGATTTATTTAATAGCTTATTATACCATTGAGATAAGAGTTATCTTAAAAAATAACTCTTTTCTCAATATAAACATTCTATTGAATAAAATTATATGTATTGATTATGTATTATTTTGGTAAATTTGTTTTTAAAGAAAAATTTACCCATATTATTATTACTTTCTTTATTAGTTATTAGATATGTATCCTTACAAAATCATATAATTTCATCATAAAATTTTATAATAAATATTTATTTTCAGTTTATATATATATTATTTGTGCTCTTTTTGCAAATTTGTATGGTTGTTTCGTATACATACAATAAAAAAATATATATTGTTTGGAATATTACTAATTCAGTTATTTCTATCTTTAAATTACCACAAAAATTTATGATATTTTTATCCATCAAAACAATTGATTTTCAAACAATTTGTTGAAATAAGAATCTGAAAATATTCAAATGCAGGAAAAGAAAATGGCTATTAGTTGTTGTGTTGTTACGTAGCATTTAAGTGCATAACAAAAAGATGCATTCAGTATTGACAATAAATATTATTACTACTTTATTGTGAATATTGTTTACAAGGCTAACTGCTACGTTCAAGTTACTTCCTTCAAATAAGTGGGATTAGTGGTCTCTCATCTGAAAACTCTTTGTGACACTTCTAAGATTCATGACTTGCCATTCAGCAATTAATAGCAGTGTCTTATAATTACTGATATAAAACAACTATTCTAGAAGTCACAACTTTGAACAATTCCCAAAAGAGAAGCTGTAATGTAAGATAGTGGAAGTCTGAAAGAGACGTTAGAGCTTGTGAGAGATACAAGTGCCAAGACATTATTTTATGTCATTAATCTAAAATCTTAATGCTGTAAATGGTATTATTGATAAAAAATAAAATAAATTAAAATTACACCTATCAATGTTAAAAACTGAAAATGTTGCCCCGCTGAAAATGTTATCCCATGCCCCTACTCTTAACTGCTAACAATAAAAAAGAGTTAAGTGCATCGTAGTACGTAAGGCATTTAAGCACCACACCCAATCCAATTTGGAAGAAATGTTCCAAGTATACAAATATAACAAGGGTGGATGCGAACGTGTAACTCATTGGTTGGGAATGATCTCAGACTGCAGCCAGAATGTCTAGGATCCAGTTGACATTGAGAAAATTTCCTAGATAGGAGCTTTATCCTATGTTTGGATGCCTCAATGTGTCGAGGTGATAGGAAGAGCGATTTGGACTGCTTTGTAACATTGAAGGCTGCAGAGAGGAACGTTGGATTTGCTATCTCTATACTTGTAGGAGTTGGAACATGTCGGACCGGCACACTTCTCTCGAGGTGGTGGATATCTACAAGAAAGGTCCAAATTTTAGTATCCTAACTTTAAAATATTAGAAAAATAAATTTAAAAATAGAGGCAACAGATGACATACAAATGGCCCTACAAAGCAGGAACATGGGGCAGCCAACCTGCAAGGGCCTGAACTAAAGAAGCTTGGAAGTCCCACGTCTTCTGAGAATGAAACGATAGAACTAGTAGGACCAAGATGCCAGCGGATACTGTTGCTTGAGGGAGCAAGTTCAGCTGCCTTCTTCTCCTGCAGAATAAAAAAAAGAAGTGTCACACAAATGCGATAAACAAGCTGCTTCATTTTTTTCATCTACAAATCTATTTCCACGTTAACGAAGAATTTACCGCTTTCCAGTTGGAAGGCACACTTGATGTTTCTGTGCCTATGACTTGAAATTTTCGCCACCAAAACTCGAGGGGGAGTCAAAAACAAAAACAAAAACAAAAAAAAGATAAAACCTTAAAAATAAATAAAAATAAAACTAAGGTTGGTTTTCTCTTGATGCAAAGCAACATGCCCGGACAAAGACGAGTCAAACAGCTACATCTGTAGGCTCAATAACTGCACAATGTCATGATGGATGTATGACACAAGATTAGACGAACCTGCTGAATATCTTGTCTCTGTTTCTCGAGTCGATTTTCACGCCTTTTCCTAGTAGAGTCTTGTCCTAAAATCCGCTGAATTGCTGTTGCCTACAAACCAGACAAGACCACTAGTCAGCACAAGAACTCTAAAAAACATAATTTCAACATAGGCAGTAGAAAGATGTCAAGCTGCACCCGTGATAACACTTCAGTAACTGATGCACTTCTACGACGAGTAATAGCAACAGCAAGCGCATAAGATATACCTGAATATCTCGAGCGGTTTTCTCAACCTGCTGTTTCCGACGATGAGCAGCTTCCACCCTCTTGACTTGCCTCTCAGCTTCTGACAAATTGATCTTTCCTTCTGAACATGGGTAATATCAATTCAGTATAAATCTCTAATAATAGCACCTAATATACGTCTTCAACAAACAAATTCTATGACTTAATTTTATGACATGATTGAACTCGACAAAATCTGAACAAATCTTCACCGCAGACATTAATAAATACAAATATTGTGGCTATGTGATATAGAAGTATCTGCGACGTACTTCGAGAAAGAGGGTTGGTCAAACCCTCTGGGTACTCAATCAACGAAGGAGCAGACTCTCTGTCTGCGTCTTTAGAAGTCTGCATTGCACGCTGTCGAGCGGTGAGCGCCATCCCAGACCCAACGACCTCCTTTGTTGGCCGACTCTGTTGCAATTTTTCAGGCTTTACTGGTTCCGTCTCATCCTCCTCATCTTCATCATCATCATCACCAACTAAACCACCACCACTATCCTCATCCACAGGTTTACCAACGTCTTCTGAGGATTCCTCCTCTGCATCTCCTGATTCCTTTTCAACTTCATCCTCAACGAATCGTCCACCTTCAGACACAAGCGTCCGACATTAGTACCTCCACTCTTGCAGAATAGAAACAGCGAGTAAACGTCTACAATAATCGTCCATGTTTCGAGGGCTAAGGTAATGTATCCATAACTATACACCTGAAATTACGCTCCACAATATAAGCATTAAACGAACTAATGTTCAGATTACTTTTAACTTTAAAGAAAGGTTATCAACCTTTAGAAGACGCGGATGGCCTTTGCATATCTACGTCCTCTTCATCTCCATCCATAACTCGCCGTTTCGGAACACGAGAGCTTTTCCGAACACCTTGAAGAGAAGATCCTGACCCAAGGGCAATCGTTTTTGGATGTTCAGATTTGCTAGCAGAATTTACTTTGTCACCATTCGGTGTTGTCTGCTCAGTCTGTCCCACGAAGCCCGGGTTGTGATTCTCAGTTTTCCTGGGTGCTTTTGGAGGTGGCAGATAAAATTCTTCGTCATCATCTGACTGGTCCTGCAAAACATAAGTATAGTGGTAAGAATATATCAAGAAATAATTTAGGTCATCAAGCTATTCTGTGATTCAAGTGTTGAAGCGTCCACAAAATTGATCGGCAATTGCAAGTTATTGGGCAAATTATATATGTTACTCTCAGATACTCAAATCAAACAAAATTAACATACCTGTAATATTAAACGTTGTCTTCTACGCCTATTTGCACCTGCTGGTTCAGACTCTCGTGACTTATGTACAAAATTTGCTGCAGAAGAGGCAGCAGTACCATCTGCTTTCTTTGCAGAGTCCGAAACGATAGTGTGAGTAATTCCACCTACTTTAAGCTTCAGCTTCGTAAATCCTCCAACTTTGTGCTCAGCGGTATCCTTTTCTGTACACTTTAAATTTGCCTCCTTCGCTCCGTGCTTCTCTCCAAGGTTCACGCGTGGGGTATGACTTGCATCACGAGATAGCTTCTCTTTGCCACTGTCGAAACCATCACGCTCGCGAAACCTTGCAGATTTATTCCTATCATTGCCACGCCCGTCACCCAAATATTCATCTATATCATCTCTCGCAGGTCTTTCCACATTCACAATGTCTTTCATACTCTTTTCAAGTCTCTTCACTCTTTCGTGTTCAGGCCTTCTTGTCCCATTGCTTTCCCTCCAGTCTCCTTTCTCTTGCTTTGCATCGTCTTTCCCGTGAAACCTCCTGTCACTAAATTTTTCCTTCCTTGAAAAGATTTTAGTATCTCGGTATTCGTCTCTCCTCGAAGAATATTTGCCACGTTCCTCTGTTGCTGCTCTATCATCCCCCCTGCCCAACCTTCCTTCTTCCCTCCTGTCACCACCGCGGTAACCACTTTCTCTTCCAGAATCTTTAAATCCATTTCCATCATATCTACTACCCCGCTCCTCTCTTAATGACCTCGAATCATAATCCCTTGATCTTCCGACTTCTTTTCCTCCTCTGTAATCGTCCCTGCCACCACCTCTACCTTCACCTTCATATTTATCTCCAGAAAACTTGTCACCTCTTCCAAAATGCCTGCCAGATGGTGTTGGAATGGAATGTGTATCCTTACTAGAATGTCTGCTGTAATATTTGTCGTCTTTTCTATACTCCTTTCTCTCGGGCCCCATGTCGGCACGACTCCCTCCCACGTCCGTCACCTGACATAGAACATCAGCAGTGAAATTTCCAATAGCCACAAACTACAACGCATGCATGCGCGGTCAGTAGCCCATCCGTGATGACCAGGGCAGAAACTACACAATGTAATACAAATCAAAGATACCCATTAAAAATTATTATAACAATACAAATGAAATAAACCTTGCATTAGATGGTTGCAATTCGACTATATGCTCAAATCACCATCTATTTCAAGAAGGATTTTTTTAAAAAAAAATTGTGCATCAAAAATTCTGAATAAGGAAAGAGAAGCAGCTTTCTTACATCAACGTATCTATCTCCGGGTCTCCGCTCTGCACTCCGATCATGCGCAGAGCTAGGATGCTCACTTCGCAAGGGCTCCCTGTAAGCGTCATACGAAGAGTGAGAACCATGGAGTGCATTAACCGCCGACGCAGACGCAGGGCCAGATTGCGGCCGAGGCCTACGGGCTGCATCCGAGCGTGGCCTCCGAACACCCTTCCCATGCTCCTCTCTCTCCTGCTTGTCCATAATTCTACAACACCTCTTCCTCGAGCTCAAACTTCCACCCTCGTAATTGCTTTACCAGCGAGGAAAAACCAAAAAACAAAAAAACAAAACAAAACAAAAACAAAAGTCACAAAACCCGCGTCTCTAACCCGCCATCACCAAACAGCGACCACCTCTCGCTCCGACCACGTACCCTAAAGCACCAGACCTTAAACCCACAAAACTCACAGGAGAAACAAACCAACCGCAACTCAGTTCACGCTCAACGACGACGACACAGAAAGAAAAACAAAGAAAAACAAAAAAAACAACAACAATAACAACCCGCGGAGAAACTACACACCCTAATCTCGAGGAATGGACAGAAGAAGAGAAAGAGAGAAAGAAAGAAGGTCCGGTAGAAAGCAGTAGTTGGCGGAGCGTGAGGCGTGAGCCTCGAAGAGAGAAAGAGAGATGGAGAGGAGGAGGCACACAGAGAGACAGAGAAGGGTAACCTTGAGCAAATGCCTGCGGACGAGGCGATGAAAAGGATGATGGTGATGATAATTGTGGGCACGGTCACGGCGATGGCGATGGCGCTGATGCAGGAGGAGCAGAGAAGGGTGCGCGCAGCAGCAGGAGGAGGAGGGGCGGCCACAGGGATGGAAGAGCTGCAGCAGGAGGGCCCATTCCCACTTGCCTTGGCTAGCGCGTCATTGCAGCAGATGGCAAAGGAAACCGGGGAGGGGGGGGGGGGCAAGGGCAAGGGAAGAAGCCCTGGCCTCGGATCTCCCTGTAAAGCTGCTGCTTCTGCTGCTACTCCTCCCTCTTCGCCAGAAAGACGAAGGGCACGGGACCCTCTTCTTCCTCGTCCTCCTCGTCCTCCTCGTCCTCCTCCTTCTTCCTCCCTCTTACAAGCCCTGCCCCATAATGCCTCTCCCTCCTTGCGCCGTTGCGCCTGCCTCCCTCCCTCCCGCAGGCCCAGCATATCCGCGCCTCGCGACCGCTCTTTCGCTTGCCGTATTGTTCCCTGCTTTTGCTTTTTAGTTGATGCATCCCCTTTATCCCTCTACTTTTTTGCGTGCTTTTCTCACTTCTGTGTGGTCGGTTTTTTCCTTGTGGTTTGGGTGGTTTGGCGTCCGACAACCATGATAATAAAAATTGCAGCTAAATTACTCATAAGACATTGATTAAAAAAAGGTTACTTGTTAAAGAAGTTCATACATACACTATGAATATATTTGTAAGTTTTAATAAATTAATGATAATAGTCCAAATTCTAACTATTATACTTATTTAAAGTGGGAATAATATTTATTTATTTAAAAAATATATTTATTTAACATTTGTAAACATGAGATTTTTGTTTAAACTTTATAAGTTAAAATAAATTTGAAATTTTTTTAGATATTTAATTTTTTGTGTCATGTATTTTATTTAAATATATGTAAAATAAATATTTCATATGCATTTCTTTTACAATGAACTAAAATGAGTGTGATTCAAATATACGATTTTTTTAATAATAAAAGATATTTTAATGATATTATATATATTTATTATTTTAATAATTTTATTTAAATGTAATCATTTGATTTTAGAAACTTCTAATACAACATCTTCTTTTTTATTCCATAGACATATCTTGACCTACATACTCCTATATACACACATAGTAATATCATCATTATATTATTGTTTTATATTTCATAGCCTTGTTTCTCTCTTTCTAATAATTGTGAAATATATTAATTTTTGGATTTCTTATTAAATATTATATATATATATAAAGCTTTATTTTTTAACATACATATTATATATAAAAATATTCATATATATATATATATATATATAAAGCTTTATTTTTTAACATACATATTATATATAAAAATATTCATATATATATATATATATATTTATATAAATAAAATGAATATTAAATAGATCCATGTTTTTACTAAATAGACCCATCTTTGATGAAAAATATAGTAATCATGATGATTGTGGTTGATTATAGATCTAATAATGGAAAAATGAATCTAAAAACCATTTTTTTTTATATAATGGTTTGGATAGATGGATCAATTTAGTAAAAGCTTAGGCCTATTTAATATTATTTTAAAAAATTTAAACAACTATGTGTGTATGTAGCATCAAAAAATCCCACTGGCTAGAATAATATGGGGCATTGATTGACTATTGATGTATATTATAAGGTTTTTTTTTTTTTTTTTTTTTTTTTTTTTTCCAATTCGTTGCCAAAGTGACAATTGCAATGAAAGCAAATCAAGTTGCAATAAAAAGGCCTTTGTAGAAGTGACAATCATCACCACTCAGAAAAAAAAATTAACTTTGGATGTTTGTTTGTAACATCAAAAAATTCCATTGGTTGAAGCAATAACAACAATTCAATGGCTATTTAACGTATATTTATTATTATTATTATTATTTTTGGTTATTATTATTACTATTATTATTTTAAAATGTAGTAAGGAGTATTAATTGGTTGTTGATGTATATTGTGTGTTTGTTTTTTTTAATTGCAATAAGGGATAGATCAAATTGCAATAAAGTTGCAATAAAGAATCTTTTATAGAAGTGATAATAAACACCACTTTTATATCACTTATATAAAATAATTGACTTTGAGTATTTGTATATGGCATCAAAAAATTCTATTGGTTGGAGCAATAATGGATACTAAAATTGTATGTGTGATTATGTTTGTGTATAGTTATATATAAATATAATTAGTTTATATGTAGTTATAGTAAAATCCTTATACAATGTGGTTGTTGATGTATATTGTGTGTTATACATGATTTGTAATGTCCTATCATTTGGATGTAAGGATTAGCTCCATTTTGCTACCAATTTGGCAATTTAAATACTTTGTGTACAATAGATCCTTTGTGTTGCTTAGCAAATTACTTCTTGCTATTGCTTCTATTTTATAGCCTACAAAGCCGAACGACTTCAAATCTGCTAAACATTGTCGTAATATGTGAAGTCTTGCTTGAGAATGCTCTGGGCACCTAGTTGTGGAAGGAAGAATGGAAATTGCAATAACAAAATCCTAATTCTAATAGAATACTAACAATGCTCTAACTAGACTATAATAATACTAAGCAAGCTTAATCAAATTCAAAAAATCTCAAAGAAATTTCAAACAAAAAATAAAAATTCTTAAAGAAACATTAGAAAGAACACAAATATCATTCAAATACATCTCAATTCAATCTTAATTTAATTCTAGTTAAAATCCTATTGAACTTCATTCAAACTTTAGGTCAAAACTAATTGAATCTTAAATCCTAATAAAATCCTAAATCCTAAATCAAACCTTAAACAAACCTTAAATCCTAAATAAAATCCTAACCAAATCCTAAACCAAACCATAAATCCTAAATCAAATCCTAACCAAATCCTAAATCCTAAAACAAATCCTAACCAAATCCTAAACCCTAAATAAAACCTAACCAAATCCTAAAACAAATCCTAAATCCTAAATCAAACCCTAATCCAAACCCTCAATCTTAAATCAAATCCTAAATCAAACCCTAAATCCTTAATCAAATCCTAATTAAATCCTAAATCCTAAATCAAACCCTAATAAAATCTTAAATCCTAAACCAAATCCTAAATCAAACCCTAATCTAAATTCTAAATCCTAAATCAAACTCTAATCCAAAGCCTAAATCCTAAATCAAATCCTAATCAAATTCTAAACCCTAAATAAAACCCTAACTCAATCCTAAACCAAACCCTAAACCCTAAATCAAATCCTAATCCAAACCCTAAACCCTAAATCAAATCCTAGTAATTCCTATAATAGATTTAAACCTCAATAATTGATGAATAAACTGTTGATCTTAATTCAAATTTTTTACACTTTTAAAAAATAAGTTAAAAACAAGTACAAAAAAAGTTGAAAAGGATCGGAGTTACCAAATTGACGATAACCTCAAAAATATGCTCGGGTCTTGGCCGGCCTCCTTCTCCAATCTTGATGCCAATCTTTCAGAGCCGATATCTCTCTTTTGTACTGTTCGATTGATCTTAAAATTCTCATACACATAGAAAAATAAGTCTAATATCTTCTTACATAAGTTTCACTCCAATCCAACTAGTAGATTACAAAAAATCTTAAAAACCCCCACTAGACCTAAAATTCTACTTTCTGAGACCTTGATCCACTTAAACCTCAATATCCCTCAATTCAATCGTTAGATCGAGCTCAAATTCAAGACACATATTAAACACAATTATAATCATAAATCCACAAAATTTCACCTATAGATATATTACAAAACTCTTGAAATCATCCAAAACATAAACCCTATTTTATTTCATTAAACCCAAATCTTCTAAAACAAACTTGACTTTGCAAAGCTCTTACAAAGTCATAACAACTCTAAATCATCCAAAATCAATGCCTATAGAAACCCTATTCAATCTTCTATCAAATCCCACTCTTCGATTTGCCAAAGAGTCCCGGAGTCATCATCGAGACTCGATTTTGTGCCTTAGGATCTGATTTCGACCCTGGTTCAGAACCAGCCCTCTCTGAGTATCAACATCTAATTTTTTAAAGTAATTTTTACTATAATTTACTCTTAACTTCCTCTTAAAGATGTCTATATCATTTATTTTTCCAATCTACTTTATTTTGCCTTATTTTTGGTCCTACAAAGTAAGTAGAAGCTATTTTTTCTAAAAGGGCAACATTACTACTAAAAGTTTTACTACCTTCCTATCTTTTATCCATATTTTTCTACCTTTTCTTTTAACTTGGCTCTTCTATAATAAGATCCATATTATCATCTTTTATCATATAGTCATATTACAATACGACATCCACCCTTCTGAACTTATGTATCCTCCGGTATGCACCAAATAATCCAACTTTGTTTGATTCATACAATATTTTCAATGTCCTCATCCAATTCTTCTTCTTCATATTTGCTATTCAAATCAAAATCATCTTGTTGTCTTAAAAGATTTATGTCTTTGACAAAGTCTTGTATATTTATTTATGTTTGCTTTTGTTTGAGTATCTTCACTTGCTTCCATTGTCATCATCCTTTAATCTAATATATGTAATTTTCTTCAAGAATCTTCCAATCCATTTTCTTGATAAATACCAAAAATCTTTCATCTTCTTCTAATGTTTCCAACTCTCATAATTCTTTCTCAATCATTTTTTTTTTTTTTTTTTTTTTTTTTTTATATATATTATAAAACTTAAATCAAAGGCATTTATATCTTGTTAATGTACTTCCGTTTGTATACGTCCATAGTCTTGCTTTACAATGATACTTTTCTAAAATCTTATTTTTTATTTATTTTTATTTTTTTTAATAAAACTTAAATCAAAGGCACCTATATCTTGTAAGAGTACCTCCCTTTTTATACCTCCATAGTCTTGCTTTACAATAATACTTCTCTAATTTTTTATTTTTTATTTTTATTTTTATTTTTTTAAAATAAAACTTAAATCAAAGGCATCTATATCTTATAAATGTACCTCCCTTTTTATATCTCCATAGTCTTACTTTACAATGATGCTTCTATAATATATATATATATATATATATATATATTAATACCAATATTTCCATTTACTTCACATTGTCACGGATACACAAATACAGACTCGAGATCTAACAAGAAGTTCAAGAAGAACTGGCAAGAACTAGATTAATCAGATGAATACAAGAACAACACCAGAGAGGTGAGCTAGAGCTCCAAGAGATGTGTTGTCGAGATTGAAGAACTCTTCAACCTCGATTCTAATATATACTCCTATTTAGGAAGCTTCTCAAGCAACTTCTATCAACTAGGAAGCTTCTAGAAGGTTCCAGAGACTTGCTTCTAGAAGGTTCTAGAAACTTATCTCTAGAAGGTTCTAAGGACTATGTTCCTAACATCTTCTACCAACTAAGAAGCTTCTAGAAGGTTCCAAAGACTTGCTTCTAGAAGGTTTTA